AGCTCCCTATGGAGCCACGAAACGTGTGAGGGGTGTGCCGAAATGGGTGTGGGTGACGCATGCGGGCGCGGGCACTGGGGCCTTCGGTGGAGCTCCCTATGGAGCCACGAAGCGGTGTACTGGGTGGGTGAAGAGGAGAGGAGGAGAGGAGGGGAGGAGAGGAGGAGAAGAGAGGAGAGGAGAGGAGAGGAACGCGGGGCACCGTCTCTTCAAAACGAGGACCCAACACCACAGGATGGTTGGGAAAAAGCTAGCGGGGATACGCGAAGCGTGAAGGAGTTGGCCAGACGATTACCAGACGTCCAACACTTGCAACATCTTGCAAAACAAACGAACACACCATCAAGACAATTGACCGCCCTGCATGAGTGACCGTGAGCGCGGACTGCGCCCTGCTGAATCTTGCCGTGAAGCGAACAGATGCCAAGGGGAGGCTCCACCACGCGGCCGAACTCATTGAGCTCAAGGCGCTTCCCCGTGAGACAACGAATGCCTTGCCAAGCGGAGCCACGAGTTCGGACCCGCTCGTGGGCGGATCTCGGCGCTGGCGGGGGATGCGCGGCACGATCGTGCGGCACCCCGCAGGCCCGCAGGGCTCAAGGCGGGGCCACAGCGGGATGACAGTGGCCGCCAGGGTCGCCACGGCCAGGGCGACAAGGACGCACTGGCTAACAGCCTTTGAGGCTCGGGCGAGGCCTCAGGATGCTGCAGAGGGCATCGCTTGGTCGCCGCGTCGGCTAAGTGATTCCACATGCGTGAAAAGACCCAACACATCGACATACTCGTTGACATCCTGATGTGCTTAAACTTTGGAGATAATTAGGGACCGAGCCAACCTGTAAGAGGACCTGCAACACGATACCAACGAGCTTGTGGCCAGTCTGATTCGAGAGAACTCGTGCGTAGTACTTACTGTGCAAATTCAAGCAGTGTTTGTACAACTGGCCGGGACCTCCAGCCAGGGAAGAAACACCTCTGCTCGCCGCACACTCCCCCCTTTGGCTAGTCTGGTGGGTGGGGCCCAAACAGGCGCCAATGCAATGCAGCGACGAATGGTGTCGAGGCCCAGCACCGGCAACCCCCAACCAGCTCGAGACAATGCGCGCAAAGGGTCCTTCGTACACGAAACATCCATGAAAACGTGGACTGCCAATCCCACTCCGAACCGACAAGGGTCGTTGTGCCACTCAATGAGCATATCTCCGTCGCTGAGAAGAGGAGAATTTTAGAAACCGCCGGGGTGGCGGCATAATCCACGCGAGACAGGAGGTCCAAATTCGGCCACTCGAGGCTTCAAGGATCCATCTCGTGACCAAGGCCTCCTGATTCGCAGAACAGGAACCGCGCTGGCAATTCCGATGGAACGGATCGTCGGGCTCCCCGCAGAGGTCGCACCTAAGGCAACGCTGGTGATTATCCCAGGGGCATGACCCTATCCCGAGCGCAAGGCGCCCCACCGAGCGCAATCTTGACGCGGGCCCTCTGGAAGGCCGCGGATTCAGAGGAACTAGTGGCCGAGACCATCATGTCACACACGATCTGCCCCGAGCGCATAGAGTATCCTGGCGGAGCAATCCAGAGATCTCACAACACCTGAACGGAACCTTCGTAATCCAATCGGTCCTGGACGTGGAGGGGGGAGACGGAGAGGGAGGGAAGCACGAACACAAGCAGCGGGGGAGTAGGAGGAGTAGGAGGAGGAGGAGGAGGAGGAGGAGGAGAAGGGCGGAGGAGGAGGAGGGGAAGGGCGGAGGAGGAAGAGGAGGAGGATGAGGAGAAGGATGATGATGATGATGATGATGATGATGATGATGATGATGATGATGATGATGATGATGATGATGATGATGATGATGATGATGATGATGACGAGGAGGAGGAGGAGGAGAAGGAGGAGGAGGAGGAGGAGGATGAGTAGGAGGAGGAGTAGGAGTATGAGGAGGAGGAAGAAGAGGAGGAGGAGGACGAAGGACACCTGAGGAAGGAGAAAGGAGGAGGAGGAGGAGGAGGAGGAGGAGGAGGAGGAGGTAGGAGCGGGAGTAGGGGAGGAATGGGGCCACGGAGAAGAGGGAGTGATGGACATGCGGCACGACCGCGCGCCAAGCTGTGGCTGGCAGGGGAAACGCCTGCTGCCACGCCACGCCCCCCACCCCCCCGAAGTCGCCCCAGCAAACCGCGGCCCGCCCGAGCGATGCCTGCGCCAGCGCGTCCGCTGGCGAGCGGTTGCGCCGCGAGCGACTCCCGCTCTCACAAGCAAGTTCACAAGTTCACGCGAGCGGTCCCACGCGTGCAAGCACAAGTGAGACCGAAAAGAAAAACGGAAAGGAGACACGTGGTCGTTTTCCTACTCGGCGTTTCGACATTGGGCGGAAGGGGGGGTTGGAGGAGGTTCTGGCTCCGGACCTCTGCTGAATGTGACTCTTTGCAACAATGTGTCTTATGGGGAGGGACTCCACCCGCTCGAAACAGGAGCCCAAGACAGCCAAGTTCTACTCTATAGGGGGGCAAGGGGGGGTGCGAGGGCCTGCGCCAATCGGCAAAAGAATGCATAACAAAAACGATCACCTTCTCGCGCCTCGGCGGCGGCGGTGGGACTCGCCAGCGACCCAGGGACACCCCCACGCTGCAGAAGCCCCCGCCCCGCCCGCAGCTCCGTGTCGTCAGGCCTATCCCCACCCCGAGCGGGCCAGGGGTCCCCAGCGACGCCCTACCCCCACGACGTGAGGACGGATGCTGCTGCGGCGGAGGAGGGAGGGGGGAGGAGGAGGAGGAGGAGGAGGAGGAGGAGGAGGAGGAGGAGGAGGAGGAGGAGGAGGAGGAGGAGGAGGAGGAGGAGGAGGAGGAGGAGCAGGAGGAGGAGAGGAGGTGGAGGAGGTGGAGGAGGAGGAGGTGGAGGATGTGGAGGAGGTGGAGGAGGAGGAGGAGGAGAAGAGGAGGAGGAGGATGAGCAGGAGGTGGAGGAGGAGGAGGAGGAGGAGGAGGAGGAGCAGCAGGAGGAGGAAGAGGAGGAGGAGGAGGAGGAGGAGGAGGAGGAGGAGGAGGAGGAGGAGGAGGCCGACGGAGACGGCATCTGTCTCCACCCGGGGATGGCCGGTCGGACAGTGGGGCTAAGGCTTCCCAATTGGGGATCGGGACAGCCTGTTCGCATCCCGGATAAAGGAACCCCCACTCAACACCATCCGTCAGCCCTGTCCTGGGCTCCCGTTATCCCGTGCGACGGCGAGATTCTGAGACGAGCGACGCGCCCCTTCAAAATCTCCCCCCAGACCCACCCTTGGGTGCGTTCGGGCCAAACTGTCGAGGCGGATCCAGCCGTGGCCACGAGGGCGCCCCAGGAGGCCCCAAGAGGCCCCGAAAGGTCCAAAGCCCTCGATGCTCGAATCTCGATCTTCGATCCCCTCCCCTCTGCCGCCCTCCCCGCGAGCTCCCCCCCCTCGTCGTCGGCGTCGGCGTCGGCGTCGGCGTCGGCGTCGGCGTCGGCGTCGGCGTCGGCGTCGGCGTCGGCGTCGGCGTCGGCGTCGTCGTCGTCGTCGTCGTCGTCGTCGTCGTCGTCGTCGTCGTCGTCGTCGTCGTCGTCGTCGTCGTCCCCCTTCAGGGTCGGCGGCACCGGCCGCACGGCCTCCCCAGTAAAGAGCACCCGAAACATATGCCAGGGAACCGCTGGCGGAAGCGCGTACGGGGGGGGGGGCACCGTGGCCAGGGCCTCGCGGCCCAGGCCTTCGCGAAGGGCTCGCGCGCACGCTTCGGGGGCAGACTTACTACTTCACCAGAGCAAGTGTGGCGTGGGGCAGGAAGTGGCGACTGGAGGGCGGAGGGAGACATGGGCGGGGCAGGCAGGCGGGAGGGAGAGGGAAGGGGGGAGGATGGGCGGGCAGGGGGGAGGGAAGGGCGTGGAGAGCGCAAGGGGGGGAGGCGGGAGAGGGGCGCGAGGTGGGAAGGGGCACTGCCCTGGCCTGCCTGCCTCCCCACCCCCCGCCCTCTCTTCTCTCCTCCTCCCTCCCTCTTGCTCCGCTCCTCTCCCGTCCGCCACCCTCCGCCCCCCCCTCCTCTCTCCGGCCCGCACTCTGCTCCTCCCCGTCGGCAGGACCTCTGCCACAGCGTGGGCGCACGGAGGCCCGGGCGCTTCCCTGGAACGGGCTCTGCGCCCCGAGCCGCTGCCCGACGGCCCGGGACCTGGCGAGGGCCCCCCGAGGGCCGAGAGTTGCGCAGAGCCTCCGCTGTGAGTTCTCTGTCACGGCGTCGGAAGTCCTGGATCCCCCTCTCGAAAAGCCGGCCCTAGGGAGAGGTTGGGACTTCCAAGGAGGAGGAGGAGGAGGAGGAGGAGGAGGAGGAGGAGGAACAAGTCACTGCATATGGGAGGACCGCGCGGACTTCTTGGATCGGCGCTGGACCCCACCTGGCGGAGCCTCTGTTGCCGCCCCTGGCGCGCTTCGCGTGCCAGGGAAGGGGGTCGAGCGCCGATTGAAGAAGCCCCCGCGGACCTGGGAACGTCTTTGCTTCTGTTGCCTCTCTTCTTTGGCTCTCCGCGTCCTTGCTGGCCCCCCCGAGGCTCTAGAGCTCCCGACCCCTGCCCCAGGGATAGGTTTGAGCCCTGGATCCATTTTTGCTGGTCCTGCGGTGGCCCGACAAGCGGTTCCTGGAGGCCGGAATGATGAAAACCCACGCGATCGACATCGGGGGGCTCAGTCTCCTCGAATCGCTGGCTCCTCAGCCCACCTCCCATGAACTAGTTTTCGGCGGCAACCAGCTTATCCGATAGGGGGGGCCGGCCGATAATCTACCACCTTTTCGCTTTGGGCAGCCCCACGTATGCCAGCACGCACCAGCACTGCTTACCTTTCTTTGGGCCCGCGCAACCGACAAGTTCAGGTTATCCAAGGGGGGGGGCGGGCGGGCCCAACAGCCCGCCCTGGTGATCGCGTGATCGCTGGACCCTTACAGCAACAGGCTCCATCCGCCGGCGACGACGACGGAGACAGAGAGAGGGGGGTGGGGCGCGCTTGTCCACAACGACGGCCGCCGGCGCGAGGTCCCGGGGGGAGCCGCCGTCCTGAGGCGCCCCCTCTCTGCCGGGGGGGGGGAGAGCCACCTCGAGTCGGGCCCTGACATCATCGCGTCGTGCACAGCATCGGCATGGATGGGGGCCTCCCTGGTCATTACCGAGCCCAGGGACAGCAGCCGAAACTTCAGTTTTGAACGGGGGCCTGGGGACACGAAAAGGTACCAATATCGCTGCTCCCCAGACCTCTCCTGGGGTGCGTGGTGCGTCCTGACCAGGATTTCGAGGCGAATCCAGCGGTGGCGACGAGGGCCTCCCAGGGGGCCCCACAAAGATGACAACGGGCGAAGAGTAGCGGTACAGCAGGGGCTCGACCACAAGAAACCTTCCACAAGAAACCCAACCCTGAGATCCCCGGACGTCCTCTGATCTTTGGTGTGTTGACGTGGCGCCTTCCATCGCCAAACCATCGAGACCCAAGACACCCAGGGCACCCGGGAGGCAAGCCGGGTGTCTCTTGGCACGGGTCTCCGCTGTGTGGGCACCTCCGCCTCCTCTGGGGGCCGCCGCTCCGAAGACTCCGCGCCGCTCGCTGCGCAGCTGGCCGCCCCACCTGGGTTGGGGGGCGGAAAGATACGGATGCGTGTTGTCTCCGGACCTCTCTTGGGGTGCGTTCTGACCAGAATTTCGAGGCGAATCCAGCGGTGACAACGAGGATTCCCCAGGAGGACCAGGAAAGGCCGAAAACGAAGGGGGACAACACGTATCCGTATCTTTTTCTCCCCTGACTGGGCGGCCAGCGACGGCTCGCGGTGTTCTCCTGCCGGCCGGCCCTCGCGGGAGGCCGAGGCACCGATGCCGCACTCTCGCGCGCCGCTCGACGAGCTCCGACCCACACCTGCCGCTGCAAAGGCAGCGCGTGCGCCACACCGTGGGCAGGGGGGAGGGCAACGAGGCAGCAACGAAGGGGCCCTGGGACACACAAACAAATACACACACACATCCCAGGATTCCCAATCTTTTCCTCATATTTTGTGGGTTTTCGTCTTCCCCCCCACTTCCCATAATTTACCGTATTTTCTGGGGGACCGACGATTCATTGTGTCTGTGTCTTTTTTCCCCCTCCTGAAGCAAGACAAGACCAGCAGCGAACGCGCCGCGAGGCCGGCCGCCGCGCTCCGTGGTTGAAGCACCCACCCGGCACGGCCCGAGCCACATCGTGACCGCCGCCGTGCGGGCACGCGGGAGCACGAGGCAGACTCTTCCGCCGAGGCAGCGATGCCACCGGACTCGGGCCAGGCGAGGACCCCTCGAGAGCAGGAGGCCCCCCGTCGGCCGGAACAACCAGAGCATCCAAAGGGCACCCCTCCCCAGGACGCACGAGAGCATGCGGCAAGCCGGAAGAACACGAGGGGGGGCCCTCCACGAACCGACCTCGATCTTTTCTGCCTCGGGCCGACCGTCAAGGTGCTGCCGCCCGGCCTGCTTCTTCCCGTGCTCTGCTCCAGGACCAGCCCTGGGCCGATCGGGCGTCACGTTGCGCTGAGGGGGGCCAGCTGTCATTCCGGAGTAAGGCGAGGCTTCGGACGAGGACAACTTCGGACGAGGATGCACCGAGAATCTCTGAGAGCCGACGGCCCTGGAGGGTGTATCGGGCGTCGCGGCCTTCTCAGAGCGTTGCAGGACGCTCTGAGAGCGGGACGCTCTGAGAGCGTTCCTGAGCCGCCCTTTAACTGTTGATGTGCACGTGAACTCCAGAATGGTTCCAATAGGGCCCGAACGGCGCGCCTCCAATGAATCCTGTTGGCGTCCTCGTTTCACGTTGTACTTACCTGCTTCCCTTCTCCGGGCAGCTCGGCGACTCGTTTCTGGATGGGCTGGTGGGGGAACTTGAGGCGTCAGGAATGTTTCACTGTTGATGGCACGATGCGAGCCAAGCGCGTCCAGGTGCGCTCGCCTCTGGGAATTGGACATCGAACGTGGGGGAGGTGTGGAGGGGCATGGAACTTGAAGGGATGGGAGAGGCAGGGATGGGAAATGATGCGAACCGAAGGGGTGGGATGGGATGATATCCAGAAGTTCCAGAAAGGTGATATTGGGTGGGCAGAGACGGAGTTCAAGAAATAAGAGGATCGAGGGAAGCATGGATGGGGAGGGCGGGATGGCTGTCGAATCTGCTCCTCGGGAGAAGTGCTGATGCACTCATCCTATCACCGTCCCAGTCCCCTCCAACTTGCGCGCCAGCTCCAACAGCGTGTATGGTGGACGCACGAACACGTTGTCCTCAGTAAGAGCGAGGCTGCAGAATGCCTCGAGCATCAAACCATGCACAAACCATGCACCAACAGAGACCGATGCGCACGGTTCATGGTTGACGCACCGCGGCTTTGACAATGACACGGCTCCCTCACGTGCGCGCAGACCGGTGGACATCGCGCAGCTGGACAGCACGACCAAGCAGGGAGGAGGGTCGGGAGGAAAAGAGAGAGAGAGAGAGAGAGAGAGAGAGAATGAGAGAGAGAGAGAGAGAGAAAGAGAGAGAAGGAGAAGGAAGAAGGAGGAGGGATGACTGTCTCGAGACCTTACCGGTAAGTCGGGCGCGTCCCTGCATAGGAGGACGATTCAAAAACAGTCCACAAATAGTCAGGCGACGATGTTTGTACTACTTTTTGGCCAGCTTTGGAGATGTTTTGACTCTCGGCTGCTTTTCCCTCCCAAATCTGCCTGCACGGGGACATGCGCGACCTAACTAACCTGACCTCCGGATGCCGCGGTGGGCCGACCCGTACGCACAGGGCGACAAGCACAGGCGAGAGGGGGGCAGCGCGCTCCATTCCCCCCCCGCCACCCGCTGCCCTGCCCCCTCGCCACCCCTGCACCACCCGGTGTCTCTCTCTCTTGCTCTCTCCTGCTCTCCCCCTCCTCCCCCCTCTCTCCTTGCCCTCCCCCCTCCTCCCTCCTATTCCCTCCCCCCTCTCCCCAGCTCCCTATCGCCCTCTCTCCCCTCCCAGAGACAGAGAGGCAGGACGAGGACACATGGGGAGGAGGAGGAGGAAGCTGGACCTCCGAGAGCAGGCGGGTCTGGAGGATGCATCAGGCGCCGCGGCCGTTCCAGACCGCTCCTCAACGATCTGTTGAGCGCCTGCGAGAGGGCCTCAGGATACGGCAGGTTCCCGCTGTGACGACTCGCACATTTCTGACACCGCGTGGATCGCTCAATCCCGAGCGACCGCGGCTTGCCGACCATTAATCAGGAGGGGCAGCGCGCCAGGCCAGCGCGGATCCAGGAAGTCAGTGCCGAGCGCCAAGAGCGCATGCTCGTGGCACTTCTGCTTCCTAGAGACAGCGCGGAGCCTTCGATGCCGGCCGACTCCGGGCCACCACCGCGGCGCTCCACCACCCTGGCACGCCCCGAGCGCGGGGGCCACCGCGGGGGTCTGCCCGGCGCGAGCCTGGCGGCGGCACCCCGGAAGGGCCCCCGAGGCACGCCTCGAGATGACCACGTGCCGTCGGGACGTGCACGCGGGCATCGGGGCCTCCAGACATGAAGGGGCCCCAGGACACACACAAATAAATGCACAAAAAATAAAAGGATGCTCCATATTTTCCCATATTTCCCTGGGTTTTTGTCTTCCCCCCCACTTCCCGTATTTTCCCATATTTTCGGGGGAATCGAAGATTCATTTTGTCTGTGTGTTTTTTCCCTCCTGAATCGGGGCCTCCAAACATCGGGCGTTGGCCGGACGGGGTTAGGGGGGACCCGGTTTAATGATGTGCGCTGGGGAGCGCCCCCCCTCGTTCCGATGACCGGAACTGCCGTCACCCGAAAGACACCAGCCAAACGGCAGACCTGGTCTAGTGATCCTAGCGCATGCTTTGGACCTCGGGGCCCCATCTCTAACCGGCTCCCCTCAACCGGAGCCCTAGCTATCCCTGACCAGATGCTCCCAGACGGCCTCACGAGGCTCACCCCCAGGCGCCGCCAGGAGGCGCACCAGCGTGCACCTAAAGAGCCTCCAGAGGGCGCCAGACCTCCCGACGGCACAGGATGCAAAGCAAGAAACTCCGGAGCAACCGCAAGGCGGCTGGCAAGTAGCCTCCACCAAGGAGGATAGAGGCATCAAGTGGTGGAGCCCTTCGAGGATCGAGTGCATCGAATCACGCGGCTTGGGCTGATCCAACGCTTCCCAGAGGAATCCCAAACGTCAAGCATGATTAGCATCTCGGACATATCAGAACGCAACTCCCTGGGCAAGCGAGGAAGCCACAAGCCCGCCGTGAGATGATCGCGGACGCATTGGCGAGATGCTTTGTAACACCCCAGTCCCCTGCCGCAGCCGACCTGGCATGTCCTCATGGTGGGTTCCGAAGGCGCTTCTACCCATCGTTCGGAAGAACAGGGCACGTAGATACATGAAGTAGGAAGGCGTTGAAAATAGGTTTGGACTGCGCCGGCTCCATGAGAATGAAGGAACATGGGAACCATTCGATTATTGAAATAGGACGGCGCCTGGCATATATTGGAATTCGGTGAATGTGCATAACAAAAAGCAACGTACTTTCAACGAGCGGTGGGTAATCCTCGCACGTCAAGGCCACACTGTAAGTGGATGGAATCGACCGAGTCCCCCAGAGACACAGAGACAGGTCACTCGGTGATGAGGCGGAGGAGCATGAGGCCGAGGAGGAGGAGGAGTCCATTCAATCCCTGCACCACCCGCAAGCACACGCCGGTGAGAGCAGATCCCCCTGGAGAGCTCGCGCAGCTGGCTGCCGGGTGGTGAATTCGGAGCGTGCCTCCTCCGCCGAGGCCTCCGCAGCGGAGGCGACTACCGCCACCCCGCCGACGGAGCCCGCAGCCGCGCAGCGGGCCACTGCTGCGGAGATGGGCTCCCGCGGGAGGGCCAGGACCCGGGGGGCCCCGCGCGGTGCCATCGGGCCGCGGGGCCCTTCCGCGCGGAGCCGCCCGCGGGCGAGCGCGAGCGCGAGCTCGAGGCCGAGCGCCGCCACGACGGGCTGCCCGGGGCCCAGCCGCCGCCGGCCTGCTCGGGCCGCACGAGAGGGGGGGGGGCAAACAAGCCTGCCTCGCTTTTGACCACCCTCGCTTCCAAGAGATACCAAGCGATGCCAAACTACGGCCTGTACTGGTCAGGCCGCTTGACGAGGAGGCGCGTGGTATGACTTGGTTTTGCCTGGAAGCGAAAGCGGGGTAGGTCATTGACGCTCTGAGAGAGGGGGGGGGACGGCAGGAGGGGGGGGGGTTGCCGAAGCAGCTCGCGCAGCTGACTTCACCGGCGCCTCCTGGCGCCAGAGGCGCCCCTGTATCGAGGAACGGGCCCGGCGGCAAGGCCGAAACTAGCTGCCAGCAACGGATTTCGGAACGCCCCCTTTCCCTGTCCCTTCCTTTCGTTCTCGGCGGCGAGCCCGGGGGGGGAGCGAAAAGGGGCGGGCCTTCTCAGAATTTCCCGGGAGTCCCTTGGCCCTCTGAGAAGTGTTCTAGACCTTCCCGGAAGACACCGACGACTGCTCAGAAGGCGCGGGGGCCTCCGAGAAGTCCCGCCGCCTTCTGAGAAGGCCTTCTCCTTCTCACTTCCCCCCCGCCCCCCGCTCGCTGCCGAATCTGGTTTTGGGGTCATAACTCGGGTCTGCGGCGGGCGTTCGGGACGATCCGGCCAGCCCCGGAACGCTCGCGGCGAGGCGCAGCTGCTGGCAAGCACCCCGAGATGTGACAACCGCCGACAAGGCATTCTCCTGCTCCCTATACCCCCCTCGCTCGCCGCCGACGTTCGGCCCGACCTGCGCGCGCCGCCCGCGCCACGCGCGCGAGGCGGGAAGGCCCTCTGCGGGGCAGCCGCGGGGCGCGCGCGCGCGCGGCGCGGGCCCCGCTGCGGGGCCGCCGCGGGGCGACGGCCCGCGGCGCGCTGCGGCCTCGCGCGGCGGGGTCGGCGCCGCCCGCGGGGGGGGCGCCTCCGCAGCGCGCCGCGCCCTGCGCATGCCGAGCGCCCACAGCACCGCCCCCTCCGCAGCCTCACAGGAGCGAGCAAGTCGTACAGGTCCTGCTCCTCCCTCCTTTCTGCCTCCCTCCCTCCCTCCCTGCCTCCCTCCTTCCCTCCTCCTCCTTCTCCTCCTCCTCTTCCTCCTCTTCCTCCTCCTCCTCCTCCTCCTCCTCCTCAGTGGCCTCCCCCTCTCCGGGAGGGGGGGAGGAGGAGGAGAAGGAGAAGGAGGAGGAGGAGGAGGAGGAGGAGGAGGAGGAGGAGGAGGAGGAGGAAGAGGAGGTGGAGGTGGAGGTGGAGGTGGAGGAGGAGGAGGTGGAGGAGGAGGGAGGAGGAGGGAGGAGAGGAACGATGTGGATCTGTGTAGTTGCCCTCCTCCGAGCCTCGTAGTCCGCCCGGCAGCCCAGGTCCGCGGAGAGCCCGAGGGTGCGCAGGTGTGCTGGCGAGCCGGGGCCCAGGAGCTCGGGGGAGAGCACGTGCTCGGCGCCGGGCGCCGCGCGGCTCCGCGCCGCGAGCTGGTGCAGGAAGACCGCGGCGACCGCGTCCTCCACCTGCACGCAGGGGTGGCGGAGGAGCTTCGCGTGCGCCCGGGACAACCGCAGGAGCCCTTCCAGGGCGCGCGCGGTGGTGGGCTCACCGCAAGTGGCCCGCTCGCTGCGCTGGCGCAGCAGCGAGTAGTAGCGGACGAGCAGCTCCTCGGCCTGCGGCTCGGCAGCCGGGGCGAGCTGCCAGGCCCTGGCGCTCGCGAGGACGTCGCGGAGGCTGTGCTCGTCCAGCGGCGCGCCCCGAGAAGCGCGGCGGCCGCGCCCGCCGCTAGTGCCGTCGGCGTCAAGGATGGCGTCCGCCACCATGTCGTCCTGTTCGCCGGGGGCTCCCGCCCGCAGCGCCAGCACGAGATCGAAACGGCTCAGCAGCGGCGCAGGCAAGCTGGACACCTGGGCCCCCCTCGCGGGCCACCCCTGCGCCGCGACCACGCTGCACCGGGCGCGGAGCTGGCACACGAGTCCGCGGCTCGCCACCGAGATCGTCTGCTGCTCCATCGCCTCGTGCAGAGCCGCCAGCTCCTCCAGAGGCCTCCCAGATGGGGTCCGAGTAGTTGGGGTCGGGGGATCGCGCCGCACCGCCGATGCATCGGCGATACATGACCGATGCATCGGCGACGTCGGCGATGCATCGGAGCCGACGGCGTGGAGAAGGCTGGGCTCCACATCGAGCCGCACCGCCCATGCATCGGCAATGCGGCCCGATTCTCCGACCCCATCGAACCTCGGACACCATCTCAGAGGCCCAGGATTGAGGGATGCAAAAACGCCCCTACCCTGGGTTACAAGTGCGCGGTCCGCAAACCTCCTGGGAGCTCCTAAAGGCCAGAAAGCCGCAAGGACGCCGCGCGACACGCGCGATATGCGGGGTTTACCCTGTCAGCCCACAGAAGGTTCAGCGCACAGCGCCTCGTAAACCTGGGTAGGGGCGTTTTTTACGCCCTTAACAAGAGGCTCCTCCTTCTCCAGCAGCGTGAGGTCATCGATGCAGCACAGGCCGCCGTCTGCGAGCACCAGCGCGCCCGGCTCCAGCGCGGGCACAGGCCCGTCGCGGACCACCGCGCACGTGAGCCCCGCGCGCGAGGCGCCCGCGGCGCTGACGCGGACCGCCCCTGGGCAGAGCCGGCGGGCGGCCTCCAGCAGCTGCGTCTTCCCCGTCGACGGGTCTCCCATCAGCAGCACGTGGGACGACAGTCGCCCGCCCGCACCCGGAGTGGCCGCCCAGCCTTCCTGGAAGGAGAGGCGGCACGAACGTCATCCAAGGGGGCTCCGCGCGGACTCTGCCGGACCAGTGCTGGCCCCCCCGCTGGCGGCGCCGCCCTCGGCGCGCTCCGCGGGGGCTCCAGCGCCGATCCAAGAGATCCACGCGGGCCCCGACACTTCCGGGCTGCACGTGCGCCGCCTATTCTCTCCCTCGGCCTCCGGCGCGCCCTCCCGCAGGAAGCGCTCCCAGCGCGCCCCGTCGGCGGGGCAGGCCGCCGGGCAGCCTGGGGCGACGATCGGCCCGTGCAGGTCCGGCGCGCCCCCGGGCCGGGCCCTCGCCCCTGGGAGACCCGGAGCGATCGGTGCCGACGCCTCCGGTGCCGACGCCTCCGGGGGCGCGCGCGCCGCTCCCGGAGCCCCAGGAGGGGCCTGGCCGGGGCGGCGGATCTGCGGCGGGGGCGCTCTGGACGAGGAGCCCTCCGATGAGGAGCCCAGGGTCTGGAGGCTGGTGGAGCTCCAATCGCGCATCGGCCATGGATATCCCCGCCGCCCTCACTCATTGATAGGGAACCCTCCAGAGTCTGAAGCCTCCTGGGCGCATTCCTCAACGAACGCCCCCACTGTATATGTACACCTCGTCGCCATGCGGCCTTCGCCCCGGGTGCTGGGTGCAGCGGGGGCGCCGCCCACCACGGCCAGCAGAAGCGCCAGCTTCGCCGCCTCGGCGCCGGAGATCCCCGGAGCGGCCGCCTCGACGAGGCGCTGCCTGCCTCGGGGCCACCAACAGAAAGAAACACCTTAGCTTTCGCACAGGCTTCGGGCCCCTCTTCGACTTGGGCCACCCCAGAAGTAAGTACCCTCCGCGCTCTTCTGATGGGTGAGTCGCGTGCGCTGAGCCTCTTGGGAGCGCTTCTTGGGGGAGCCACTCTTGAGTGGGCGTCGACACGTCGCTTCTCTGCTTCGGTTTTTGGCCCCCTGCCTTCGAACTCGTCCTGTCGGTGCGCTGCCCAGAACCCCTCGAATCCTGCAGCCGCGTCAGGCGGCCGCTGCAGCTCCTCGCTGCTCAGCCGCCTCACGCTGCTCGCCTCGATCACTAGCTGCATCTCTATCTGCCTGCCGGCCACTGGGGGCCGCCACCGCGAGCGCACCACTCCTACGACCACTGCGCGATCGCCTGGCAGCACCGAGCCTACCAGGTCCTGCGTGAGGGCAACCGTCGCGAAGCGCGGCTCGAACGCGCTGCCCAGGGCCTCGGTGTCGTGCAGGCGCAGCTCCTGGTAGTCCACCAGCTCGCTGGCCGCCGTCTCCGCTGCCGATCGGGCGCCGCCGCGGGCCGCGCCGCCCGGAGGAGGGCCAGATCCTGGATCAGTCGCCGCAGAGGTGGGCATCTCTGCGGCCGCGCCGCAGGGAGCGTCCACCCCGCCCGCCTCCCGAATGGCCTATTGGCACGCCCGAAGGGGGCAGGGAAAGGTGAGAACATGCTGTCCAACACCACAGGTTGCGTCCCGAACCGACAGCGGCGCCGCTGCTGGGCGAGCGACTTGTCGCATCCAGCGAGCACTGCTGCTGCTGCGCTTGTCTGCGCAGAAGGAGGATATGTACATACACAGACTCGTGCGCAGGTCCGCGACGTGCTTCTTGGGTCGGCGCTGGACCTCACTCCCTGGCGCGCGGAGCGCACGGCGCCGCCAGGGGGGCCCAGCGCCGATCCAAGAAATCCGCGCGGACCTCCGACCACTTATGCTCACTCCGGCTTCGTCCCCGCTCTTTCCGTACCTACCTTACTTCGATCGTGCCGAGCCTTCGTGTTGCCCAGCCTCGTGACCTTGGCACGGAGGACAAGGGGTCCTCAGGGGAAAGGGCCCTGGGTCCCAGGACCACCTCTTCAACCCGAGCCGTCATGGGCCGATCCTGGGGCCCGGGGAAGGCCCTGGGAGCCCGACCGCGGCGAGAAACCTTAGGACACCGTGCCCCTCAGGACTCCGTTCCTGCATGGCGGCGATGGGAGGAGCTCGAAGTATACGCTGCGTCGTCTGGTCGGACTGCATGCTCGGGGCATACTCGCCTCAACTTCTCAAGCTCAGGGATGCTGGATCGCCATCCCGTACTCCGTGACCGGCCAAACGACATGGTGCATACATCAAACCGCTCCGAAGTGACGTAAAGAGGGGGACCAGATCTGGGGGGGGGGACATCGACTCGACCTGTGATACATCGCCGATAGGGCCCCCGCCAGAGAAACCGAACGACCCAGGGCGGAACGGCCTATGAGGCCCCTACTGGCGAGGAGCGGGCGCGTGGGGATCGAGAGGCCTCCCTTCCTGGCGAGGCGAGGCGAGGCGAGGCGACTCTCAGCTCGCCCGTGAGGGCGGCCGCGCGCGGGGCTGGGAGTGGGCGCCAGGGCGCCGTTCACCCTGTCGAAGGTGCACGTTCGGGCGACGGAATCTGTACATATCCGCTGCTCCCTGGCCGGGCCCGTCCTGAACCCAGCAGCGGTGTGCACGCCACGCCCTCTCCTGGCTTGGCCAGGAGGGCGTACACGCAGCTCCTGGGCCCCTGGCGGGGCCCGGCCAGGATGCAGTGGATCTGCACAGATTTCGTCGCCTGAGGCGTGTGTCTGGTTGTACAAGGTGCGCGTACACGTCGTTCAGCTCTAATCGTGCTCATTTCAAATTCTGATCGTTTCTAATTGTTCCTGGCCCCCTAGTGGCCAGGGAGACGCCCAGGATAGAACAATTAGAAATGAAATGATGTTGGCCCCCAAACAAATCACAGAGAAGACTTAGAAATCCACAACGTGTAGCCATCCTCCAATGCATCCCCCCCGTGGCATGCGTATCCCCCCCCCCCTGACGCTGCCCCTGGTTCGTGGCCGCCGGCTTCCGCCGGTGGAGCCAGCCCTCGTGCTGCCTCCGCCGGCCTTCCGCCACCCTCCCGCCGTGGAAGAGGTGCAGACCTCTCCACCCCTCGGAGGCGAGGCCATCTTTGTGGATGCCACGACAATGGACACCCTAAGAATCCGATCATTGAATTAAAGATGTGTTGTAAATGTGTAAAACATGTTCTACAAGCGTTTCTAACATGTTTCTACATATTAAGAACCTGTTCGAAACATTGTTTAGACATCTGGCTGGAAATTATTTGGCAGCATGCTTCCTCACAGTTAATCGACTTCCACAAGGCCCTCTCTGGAGCACCCTTCATGGCTGTAGGCTGCAGGAGGGCCCAGTCAGGGCTGGACCTAAATGCGCTGTTTTTCGTTATGTTGTCGCTTTGCTCTGCCTGTTTTCCTGTATCTCCCTGCCAAAACGAAAAACAAAACACAGCCGACATCCAACAAAACAGCGCTTAGGTCCAGCCCTGAGCCCAGAATCGAATCGGTAAATCGGACCGGCGATCGGCGTAAATTGGATCGGCGGAACTCGGCAGCCAAGCCGGGAGAAGTCGGATCGGCGGACGTCGGCATAGGAAGGCCTCCGTTGCAAAACCCGGAATCTCGATGGGAGTTCGAGGTCGAATAGGATCGGAATCGGAATCCATCGACATCGAATCGAATCCAGTTGGAGTCGAAATGAACCCCGTGGCGGCGACCAGCCCTGACACGGCCACGAGCCAGCCCTCGTGGATGCCGCGTTTCCTACGTGGGCGCCAGCGAGAAGGACTTCTGAGTCCGCGGCCTTGCATTTGAGACTGCGAAGTGCGAGTGAAAGCGTCATGCGACGACCTCGGCGCGCAAAACCGACCTTACTTGAGAAATCGGCATGGCCCGACTCAAAATCCCTGAGCCCAGAATCCAATTGATAGCTCGGATCTGCGATCGAAATGAGACGGCTCGGCTGAAATCGGCGGCCAAGTCTGGAGAAGTCGAATCGGCTGAAATCGGCCAGTCAGTAAGGCCTCCCTTGAGAAACCGGAAACCAACATCGGAGTTTGAGGTCGAATCGGACCCGAATCGGAATCGCGAATCGAAGGGGCCATGTCCTGGACGATTGCGATTCCTCGAAGGCGAGACCATGTCCTGGGACGAGAATGGCGTACTGATGCGACTGGCTCGGGATGTGTTCCAGGAGCTCTGGGGCATCTGGCGGCCCCCGCCTCTGCGGCCCCATGCGGACTCAATGAAACAAATGGGGCACGGGAGAAATCCTGGAGAACGCATCGTCATCATCATCATCATCATCATCATCATCATCACCACCATCATCATCATCATCATCATCATCATCATCATCATCATCATCATCATCATCATCATCATCATCATCATCATCATCATCATCATCATCATCATCATCATCATCATCATCATCATCATCATCATCATCATCATCATCATCATCATCATCATCATCATCATCATCATCATCATCATCATCATCATCATCATCATCATCATCATCATCATCATCATCATCATCATCATCATCATCATCATCATCATCATCATCATCATCATCATCATCATCATCATCATCATCATCATCATCATCATCATCATCATCATCATCATCATCATCATCATCAGCATCATCATCATCATCATCATCATCATCATCATCATCATCATCATCATCATCATCATCGTCATCATCGTCATCATCGTCAGCATCACCATCATCGTCATCGCCATCGTCGTCATCATCATCAGCAGCAGCATCAGCATCACGACTCCTCGCCGCTCTGCCTCCTAGAGCGCCCCCCTGGCGGCGACCAGCCCCGACACGGCCACGAGCCGGCCCACGTCCGCGGGCCTCACCTTGGCGGCGCGCACCAGGGGGCAGGCTTAGGTCGGGCCTGTCCCCCCCTACAGGCCGATGTTGGACGAAAAATGAAAAGTAGTCAAAAAGTACCCCCGAATTGCTCAAACACGGTCAAAACATCGTCCCCAGACTATTTTTCGACCATTTCGTAAATACTCCTCCTGTAGAGGGACAGGCCCGACTTCAAGGGTAATTAGGGGGAGGGGGAAAGCCTCCTTCTAAGAAACCTTCCCCCCTCCCCCCTGCCGCCCTCCGCACGTGGCCGACGTCCCCAGGGACGGCTCTTCATCCGCGGTCGCGGTCGAGGTCGTGGTCGTCGTCGTCGTCGTCGCCGTCGTCGCCGTCGCCGTCGTCGTCGCCGTCGTCGTCGTCGTCGTCGTCGTCGTCGTCGTCGTCGTCGTCGCCGTCGTCGCCGTCGTCGTCGTCGTCGTCGTCGTCGTCGTCGTCGTCGTCGTCGTCGTCGTCGTCGTCCGTCGTCCGTAGTCGGTGTCATCGTCGTCGTCGTCGTTGTCGCCGCCGTCGCCGCCGTCGTCGCCGTCGCCGCCGTCGCTGCCGTCGTCGCCGTCGCCGTCGCCGTCGCCGTCGTCGTCGTCGTCATCGTCGTCGTCGTCGTCGGTGTCGTCCGTAGTCGGTGTCGTCGTCGTCATCGTCGTCGTCGTCGTTGTCGTCGTCGTCGTCGTCGTCGTCGTCGTCGTCGTCGTCGTCGTCGTCGTCCGTCGTCGTCGTCGTCGTCGACCGCGTGCCTCACCTCGCCGACGGAGCGCAGGCTCGCGCCCAGGCAGCATGGCACGCGCGCCAACCTCGCCGCCGCCGCCCGCCCGCCGCGGGCCCCCTCCGCGGCAGCCAGGAGCGCCGAGCCGCGGTCGAAGTCCTCCACCTGTGCAGGAGGAGGAGGAGGAGGAGGAGGAGGCGGAGGAGGAGGAGACGAGGAGGAGGAGGAGGAGGAGGAGGAGGAGGAGGCGGAGGAGACGAGGAGGAGGAGGAGAAGGAGGAGGAGGAGGAGGAGGAGGAGGAGAGGAGCAGAGGAGAGGAGGAGAAGCAGAAGGAAGAGGAGGGACGAGTTCTTTTGCCCGCCGAGAGAAGGAACGGGCGACGAATTTTGCTTTTCAACTTGGGCGCCGGGCCCGAGAGGCCCCATTCTGGGCCCTATTGGGCCCCGCTTATCTTGGCCCCCGGGGAATCGCCGAATCCTGGAATGGCCTCGCGAATTACAGTCGGAGAGGTTTTTATTCTTCGGTAGGCGAAGATGGCATAGGCATAAACTAACGGAGGTCCGCGCAGATTTCCTCGATCGGCGCTGGACTCCCGTACCTGGCGCGCGGAGCGCGCCACACCCCCAGGGGGCTCCAGCGCCGATCCATGATAACCGCGCGGACCTCCAACCATATGTTTATGTGTTCGTTCCCCCTTCACCCCCACTACCCCCAGCGACGCACGCAACCCTGCAACAGCGCACGCCTCCCGACAGCGACGCACGCATCCCGGCAGCGACGCACGCATCCCAGCCGGGACGCACGCCTCGCGGCCGCGACGCACGCATCGCGGCTACTACGGTGGGGAACTTTTGCTCAGCGTGTCGTGGCGACGGCCCCGGGCGAGCGAATGGGTGCACGGTGGGGGCATTGGAT